AAATAGCCCTTTACAGCGAGCAGAGCCAGTATGGACAGTAGTGTCTAACAGCATACAGTGGGTGTCTAACAGGCACAGAAGTGGGTGTGAGCATAATCTTACTGCAGAAAAATCCGTCTTGTAGAATGCCACTCCTGGTGCCTTTCTGTTTCCACTTCTACGCATTCTTTAGAGGTCTGTCAGAGGCAATTATGATTGGCTGCCCTATGTTTATCAAATATATATGTATGGTGTGGGACAAGCTCTAGGGGGTGGAAAAAGCAAGTGCCTTCAGCTGTGCAGCAATACTCTTACCTTAGCTATTTTCTAATGAAGCAGATCATATCTCTGAAGGGAAGTAATCAGCTGTTGGCATGAAAAGGTCTGTGTGACAGGTCTGGAAGTGACTTAATTGCATCTAGTATTGCTTTGTAGGACAGTTTATGTTGTTGGATTAAAAAAAGTCTCTTGAGATAGTTCCAAGGCAGAAGGACTTAAAAAAGCATCTCTCTGAAGCCCAAAGAGCGCATGTCAAATGTACCAGACTGCTGCTTGTGTGGGATTTTTTCAAGACTCTTGAGAGATGGAGTGTTATTTAAGTATTTGTTTAGAGGAATGTGTACTCCTGCAGGAGAAATATCCATGCCCAGCGGTGTTGCTATCAGTCTTGTTTACTTTACTCGAACTCATAAAATCTATAGAGAAATTAGTGGCTGAGGAGAGAATTAGAAACTAATGTTCAGCATTATCCTGCAATTTTATGTATTTATTTCTTAAAGTGATTTGTAGCATCTTATGATCAGGCAAGCTTCAATGGGAATAACTGATTCCCTGTTGGCGTGAAGAAAGGGACAATACTGAAGAATGGCTGGATAAGGATACATGCAAAGATAAGGAAAACTTGCCTAAAATGTAATCCTTTAACTATGTTCCAGTAGTTTCCCATGGTGCATGTTGTGGTTAACATTTGCTTAATTCTTTTGCTTTTGTAAAAGCCTTTTGAGAAGAGGATTGGGAATAAAATTAAAAGCAAGAACATGATTTTTTAGAATCAAAGTCTTTTTGTCATTTAGTCATTCTGCAGTGTGACCAATCCATTTTGCAATCATCAACTTGCCATATGTATGTATATCAAGTGAAACTGGTAATTTCTCAGTAACTTGTAAAATGCTTGAGAGTTATCTGAGCTCCCGTGGACTCTGTGGGTGTGGAGACATCTTGCCGGTTGCAGCAAGGGATGCTGACAGATGCCAACCAAAGCAGCAACATATGTGGGGAGAAAATTGCACTCCTACCTTAAAAAATTGTATTCTGACGTTAGTGTTCAGGCTGTTGGAGTAATGCAACAAAGCTCAAGTTGAGCTTGGTCTGGTTACAGTGGCTACAACTCCTTATGTGCCTTCTGTGAGGCTCAGACTCCCTTTAAATCCTCTTCAGAGATGAGAGCTGATGAGTCTCAGTCTAAATATCCATGCCACATCACCTTTAAAGTTGTGTTTTGATGCCTGAGAGACAGGGGCATCTGTAAGGGTTAACTCAAGCTGTAAAGCACTGCCTAATTTTTACAGATGGTGTGAGTGCAAGAGAGAACCTCAGACTGGCTTGGCAGTGCACAGAGATAACTTTACATAATTCCCTGCAGATGTTGCTGCAGAATGGTTTTAATAATGAATTGTGAAGTCAAGCTCAACTCCAGCATAGAGGGAGAACTCAAAATAAATGCAGTTTTGTTCTGTGTTTCAAAAGCAAGTTTTCTAACAATATTTCTATGATGCTCTGGGTTGGGAAAGATGGCTGGAGAGGGGACAAGAGATTGTTTGCAGGAAGCCAGGGCTATAATGGCGCAAACTAAGACCAGTCTGGCTAATTTGTCTGCAAATCATGAACACCTATGAACCTGGGGGGGGGGGAAGGGGTGGTGGTACCAAATGGCAGCTGCCCAAAGCTTCTAATGAGAGGATGGCACAGAGCAAGTACTTCATGATCAGTTGGGCAGAGTTCTGCAGTTTGTGGATGCCATGCAGGGGCTGTGTTGAGAAACTTGTCTGCACTGCTGCCATTTTCTGCTAGGAGTCAATTCTTGCAATATGCTGTAGTTTCCTTTCTGGAAGGTTATGGCTTGGATGTGCCGTCATAATTCAAGTTTTGGTCTCATAAGGGGGGTGTGCTGCCTTTGCAGTGTCTGCTCGGCTGCTCTAAGACCTTGCACATCTTGCTTGTGAGTATCCATTTGTGACTTCTCTGTTACCAGGGTGTGTTGCTGAAAGTTTCTCAGTCTTCTCAGTTGTTTGGGTTGTTTAAGTAAAACACACCTTTTTTCTGTAGATGTGCTATTTCAACGAGCTACATTAAAGCCTTTCTTTTGTCTTTTTGAGAAACAAGCTTGAAATGGGAGAAGAGAATTTCAGAGTTGGGGCTATTTTTTCCTGAAGTTGGACAGATGCTGCTGATTTCTCAGTAGTTGTGGAGATCTCTCATTTATGCTTTATCCTTGCACAGAGTTTATAAAGGAAACCTTTAGAAAGAAATGATAACTTTCATGAGTTCTGTGGTGATTAAAAGCTTTAGCCTTAGTCATTGCTTGAAGAATCAAAGCAGCTTAAAACCTCAACTGGACTCTTATATGCTCTGTCTGCACATGGCACTGGATTTGGTTGAGTTACTTGTCTGTAACGTAGCTCAAATGTGACTTGATCTCCAGCTGTTACACTGGAGCCTGTTCACAAGATCAGAGTCATGAGTTTTGCTTGCTGAGGGCTTTCAGGAGCTAGGAATGGCAGTAGGGAGGCATGGTGATGTGAGGGAGGCATATGCGCAAGTGCATACCTAGGCATGAGGGCAAGGGGTATTCTCTTGGCAGGGAGCCCTTTTGGATGGAGGCTCAGCTACTCTGTGGCCCCAAACACAAGACCTAAACTCAGCTCTGTGGCCACTGTGCAGCTCAAGGAGCCAAACCAAAGGAGCTGTATTGTGAAATGGGCTAGCACTGGGTTGGCGTCAAGCAAGTGTGATCCAGCTCTCCGAAGAAGTTTTTACCATGATTTGAATTTGGCCCAAAGGTACATTTTTTAAGTTAGGCAAGTCCTTTCTGCGATTGTGCTTAATTTCTTTCTGAGGAAGAGTTTACGTAAACTATTCCAGGCTAATTGATATCAGCTGAAAGCCAGCTTCTCACATTTTGTGCCTAATTATAACTGTATGTTAACTGTGTTTGCTACCCGTGTCGATACGTTAGTAGTGAAATAAGGAACAACCACGAAGACGTGTTTTTGAAACGGTCTGGCAGATCCTGCATGTTCGCTGCTGTGGGCTTCGTGGCAGGAGAACCCACCTCCTGCTGAGGGAGAATAACTAAATTTAAACTTTCCAACCATGAGCCTTGTGAAGCAAAGTTTCCAAACCTCTGCTGGGCCAGAAGATGGAAATCCATGTCTGAGTTTGGAGAGTAAATAAATAGAGCTGCCTAGGAGCTGCACGGAGGCAAGTGAGGGGTTATTGTTTGGGGCACATTATCTCCCACCCACATGCCCCAGGGAGCAAAACAGGGTTTGTAACTACTGTTCTCTGGTAAAATCTTCCATGACAGGATTTGGCATGAACTTGGGTGACTTTGAGCATGAACACTTGAGCATTGTTTCAGGAGGGTGGTTTTTTTCTTTAAAGACAGTTGCATGTGGCATGGCAGCAGAGCCCAGCCCAGGACCTTCTCTTCCCCCTCGCTGGGCTCAGGCTGTGGCATCCTAGCTGTGGGAGAGCTGAGTGGCTATCACCCAGCTCAGGGCTTTGCCCCTCCATAAACTAACCAGTGTTCATGCCCATCTATTCACAGACCAAGATGGTGCCTTTGCTTATCACAGGCAGGCTTGGGAGTCTTCTGTGAAATTTGGTGTGTTTATGACAGCCATTAAAGTCTTTAAACTGTTTTGAGGTGCATGTACAGAAATAGCTGTTTTCCCAACTCCCTTTGGGGAGTCTGGAAGACTGGTATTGGACAAAAGTTTGCATTGTCCTGACAAAGCAGCTTGTGTTTTTGGAGGGAAACTGGGAGATTACAGAAAACAACAGAAGTGGTTTGCTTACCTGTTAGACTTTTTATTGTCCTGTTATCTTAACCTGGACCTTGTCTGAATGGAGGAGAATCTAGCTGTGTTCGTATCTGAGAGCAGGAAGTTCTTGGCTGAGTGAGTCTACATCAAAAGTAGCAGAGGATTCCATAAATCAGTGTAACCAAGCAAGAAAAGAGGCAAGGATGGTTGTGGTTGGAATGTATTTAGTCTGAAGTTGGTTTGCCTATAATTTTATTCATCCATCCACAGATATGACTGAAAGGTTATATCCCTATAGCTGGTGAATACTTAACATTTTTATAGATAGTGGTAAAAATTTGGATGTTCAGGTGGGAAGACAAATAACTGGCACTCGTTACCTGAAGTCACATTTCAGTTAGCTTTTTCTCTCCTATTTCTGTTCTGGCAGTACTTTTCCAGCTTCCCAAGGTATTGAATTCAGGTCATGTTTTTTAAACACCAGCTGTGGTTACAAGTGCTCTTGAAGCACTTTTGTATCCTATTCTGAAATCTCTGCCCTTCTACTGAAGTGTTTCCTATTTCCATCATTTGACTTCTGTAATGCTTCGTATTAGGATTTGGGCAGCATTTGTGCTGTTTCAGATATGTTCACACATACATATATTCACATACTAAGTGTTTTGATACTGTAGATGTACGTGTACATGTGGCAAGACCAGCTTGGAAAAACTGAATTACAGAACTTGAATCAAAGTTGTTGTGGTTGGACTTTGAGTTTCTTAAAATAAATTGTCATTTGCTCCGTTTCACCCGTTTTTTACCACTGGGAGAGTATCTGATAGAAATGGTACAATAGGACTAAAGCCCTTCTCATTCTAGGAAGCTGCAGAATAACTCAAACCTACACTGAAGCTCCTGACACTACCATCTTCTTGGTAGCAATTTACTGTTCTTGCTCCTCTTAATGTTGACTTCTTTAATTTCTTTTTGTAGGTTGGTGGTTTGTGAGCACAGCAGAGGAGCAGGGATGGGTCCCTGCTACATACTTGGAATCCCAAAATGGAACCAGAGATGACTCTGACATCAACACATCTAAATTTGGGGAAGGTATGGAAAGCTTTTTGTTATCAAGGAGAAATAGGTATTCACTTGCTCTATGCTTTTTTCCCTCAGAGGAAAACTTGGAAAACTCTTGCTGCCACTTATGGCTGTTAATCCAGTGCAGTAACCTCTTCTCCCATCTTGTATCAGTAAATAAATTGTTGCAGAAGAAATTGGAGTGAAGTATTATGTCTGTAATCTCTTTGTGACCAGCTTGGACAATGAGTGTGACGAAAGGTTCAAAAGATGAAATGATGCTCATTATAATACCCTTAAAAAGTAGACAAACAACTTATTTGCAAGTCCAAGCAGTTTGTTCTGGTAGTGTCCATGGAAGGAGAGAACTTGCATGACTTGTTTGCAGAAATTACACAAGCGAGAGCTTCTAATTGGAAGAAGATGCATGATAGAGCCACAGACCATTGAAAGGAGTGAGATTTAACTTCAGTTGTTCTTTCTCGTAACTTTTTTTTTTTTAATTAATCTTTGAAACTAGTTTTACTGCTGTTTGCTGTGGTCTGTGGTTGTGTGGAAAGGTAATTTTATTTGGTGTGGTCTCATTCTGTTAAAAGTGAGATGCCATTTGTCATGATATGTATTTAGCTGCACTGCTTTTTTTTTTTCTTTTTTACTAAATATGCTTAATTCGGGTTCCAGAGATGGAATAGTACAGCCTCACATATTCCTTAGTTCCATTATGAAAGACTAACCACATCTTAACGGAATTCTCATGTAGCAACTGTGTACAAAGGACACTTTTATTATTATTTACTCTATTCTAATGAATGTCTTGCTAAATCTAGGTGCTCTTGACGTTACACTTATGTAAAATGTATGTGGAAACTCAGCTGACCTTTCCTTAGCACAGGCAGGAGGCTTAGAGATGTGTTGGGGTGACCATCTGCCCATTAAGAGAGCACACAGGCAAAACATAACTGTACTGGGCCCCAGGGATGACATCTGTGGCTTATTGAAATCTCTTTCTCTGTAACTCATTTTTCCCTGCTCAAATCTACCCATATCCTGGGTCACTTAGGGTTTAGAGACAGACTGGCTGTAGACTGGTAGGCCAGGAACCAGTCTGGTATGATGCAACATCCCAGCGGATGCAAAAGCAGTTAGTAAAGTTTCCTTGTTAGTAAAGAACAAAAACTTGCTGCTCTCGTCTGCAAGCATTGAAGAATGCCTCGTCTGTTGGTCTGTAGCTTCCTCCCTTTTCCTGACTCTTAAACAAGGTGCATGCTTGACAGCTTTATTGCTTAAACTGCTTTTATTTCAAGCTCTCCTTCACCTTTCGTGTTGCCCTCTGGAGTGTACTCTGCACAGGGATTTGCCACAGAGCAGTCTATCCCGGATAGTGGCAAATCCATCAAATGTTCCTTATCTCTTTCCTCTCGGTCTCTTTTAATCTGTTACACTGCTCTCTTCAACTGTGGTCAGCAGTCCTGCTCCCTGCCTTACTCCAAATCCAGATATGCTGAAACCTGAGACTGTTCTTCCCTTTCTGTTCAGTTCCACCTCAGTGACAAATCTAATTGCATTACCTCCACAGCTGCCTAGATGTGCCTCAGGTTTTGCTTGCTTTGCAGTAACTTTGGTTTATGTTATTAACCATATAAACTGAGACTTCTTGTGTTCGTTGTTTTTCCCCCTCCAGTTCTTCTTTGCTTGGGCTATTCTTGTCCATATAATTGTTTCATAAGTGAGGAAAGAATGACTCAGGTTCACTCTCTTTAAGAAAGTGTATAAAAGTGAACCTACTTAGACAGAAAACTTGCCAGCTCTCTCTCAGTAGGCAGGAGAAGCGGGCTCTGATATAACTGAGGAGGAAGGCACTTTAAGTGGATTAAGTGCCCTAGCCCCTAAATTTAGAGTTCATACAAGTTTCAGAGTGAATTTGAAAGCGCAGCAACACTCATGTAGGAGCTTTCTGTATCAGACTCTTGGTCCTCCCCGTTTGCACGGGCGGGCCTGGAACAAGACCACAATCCAGGCAGACCCAGAATTCTGCTCTGCTGTGGCAGGTGCTTGTACAGATAAGGAGGTGCTGAACACAGATTATTAATTCTGCCTCTACATAGCAGTAATATTTTCATATGTCTCTGTTTAAATAATCTGTTCCCTGAGAAAGACAGAAGTGTTTCCTCCCTGCATCTGAGCCTACACAACATCTTTTGTCAAGATGAAGGCAGACAGCTGACTACTACCTGGGCCAGTGTTTAGACCAACACCATCTTGCAAGGGTTGGAAAACATTCAGAAAGCAATCTAAAGAAACATTCAGCAGCTACAGGAGCTGATAAAGTAAACATGTTAAAATACTCTCTGGAAAGGTTTAGACACTTGTTGATAAACAACCTTTTTGGTGACTAACTGTGGCATGACCAACCAAGTCTAAGTCTGGGATCAAATGGCAAAATTCAATATCATTGAGGAGTAAAAAACTCTGACTTGCACAAAAGCATCATTGTGATATGAGGGCTGTCACTGGGGATAGTTGTATGTTATGAGGACACAGTGTGGTGGATCTGTGTGACCCACTGTTTTTAAGGGGTGCTCCTGGATGACCAAATCCTCCAAAGTCCCAGTGTGAGCAATTAGCGAGGTGACTGCTCTGTGCTGACACCTGCAGCTAGTTTCTACACCTTCTGGACCCCTCCTTTCTGCAAGCTTTTATGTTCAATATCTTTCATCTCCTCCTTTCTTGTTCAGAAATCTCCTACTGCAGTCAGCCTTACTGTGAAGTTAACTTCTCTCTCTGCTATAATCTGTGTGTCTAGTGAGGTGTCCTGTGTTGCCTCTTGTGTAGAATGTGTGTAACTGGCAGTCTAATGTCCTGTTGATTTGGAGAAAGTCACCAGGTTAAACCCTCTCATCTTCTGTCCCACCATGGGCTTCCAAGAGGATCACCAATTTCCATTAGCCAAAACCACAGCAATCTATGAACTTGATATTCAGCTCCTCTGAAAATTTGTGGTTGTTTTTTGACAGCATAGGACTAAAGGGGAAGTACAGAGCACACAAACTAGATATTGTGTCTGTTCAACACTGCACCTCTGCTTAGGGTGACACGGAGAGGTTTAGGCCTTACAGCAAAGATGAGAAATTGAGGAGAGTGAGCTGGGTGCAGAAGTCTGTCTAAGCCCCTGACAGAGGGGCTTATCCCCTGATAAAGGACAGAAAGTCAAAAGCCACTTTTTAGTAAAGTTTGGGGTTTTTTTGTTTGGTTGGTTTTTGGTTGTGTTTTTTTTTTTTTTTGTTCAGCTAATGACTCCCCAATCAATTTTACTGTGCCTGAGTGTCTACAGAACATAGTTCTAGAAGACAGAATATAGTTCTAGAAGACAATGGTGTCTACTCCATGATGAGACACTTAAGAAAATTGGGGGCAAACATTTTACACAATGGTGTTTAGAAGACTAGTGTTCTACTCCAGTGTAACGGTATATTCCCTAAATAAGTGCACATAAGAAGAATTGAGTGATAATTAATGATGTGATATCAGAATTTATGAACAGCTTCCCAGCATCACTAGTAAAATGATTGTGTTTGGACTTCAGCTGTCGCTGATGTGCAATATTTTGCATTGCTTTGTGGCAGCATCAAGCACCCCTGCAGTAGTTGCCAAATTAGCATGGAAGCCCTTGAGTGGAAAACCAGAAGTGTTTGTCTATGTCTCTGTGCCAGTCCAATGGGTCCTGTACAGGCAGAAGAAGGAACTGAGTACAGATCTAAGTCCAGAAAACAAGTGGTGTCCTCTGTGCACAGCTGCTCTCACAATGCCATTTCCATAAGTGTTTTGTCTTTGTTTATAGTTTAAGCATAAATTATTGTTTCAGTGTGTAGCTAATACTCAGTCCTGGCTTGTTAGCTTCTTGAGCCTGCTTGATAATTACAAGGTTAGGATTTTCCTGACATTTGTAATCTGTATATTAGAAGTTTTAATCATGAGAATTAGCTGTGGCAGTGATTGCGAGTCACGTCTTGCAAGCAAGGTGACATCAGACACTTTTCCCTTGGGTTCCATTCCTGAGTGCTGCTGTTATAAGGGAACTCACATAAGAAAAGCTTTTTTTCTTTTTTTGGGATTTGTTTATGGTGTGATGATTTTGCTTAGAGAGGATTAGAACCCTGTTGGATTTGATGTTGTATGCAATAGAGTGAATTCCCCAGAGATAATGCAGCCAAATTAGGAGATGCAACTGCCACTGCACCCTCCTTGGACAAGTTGTATAGTTGTTTTGCGGGGTGTATATTTTTTTTTGGCTTTCTGGGCTTCGTTTTTGAGAAAAGCCAATAGCAAGAGTTGCAATTTGTTACAGTTCTGCATGGTTCATGTTACTCAGGCTCAAGAAGATAACTTGTTCCACTGTACTGTATAAACTAAAAACATCTACATCCTGCCTAATCCATTTCCACTAACAAGACCAGTGCTTGTTAATGCCATGTTTTGTTTTTATTCCTCATCCCTCCATTTTTTTTTCTTCTTTTTTTTTTTCCTTTGTTTTGTCTCCATCCATGTTCCAAACTAGTTTCTAAGCGACGCAAGGCTCACCTGAGGCGCCTGGACCGGCGATGGACGCTGGGCGGGATAGTCAACAGGCAGCAGAGTCGAGGTGAATTAATAGTTTCCTATGGCACCGGCCACTGAGGGTGCTCCAAAAGCCATACTGCAGCTTTCGCTGTTGTGTGTTGGGATCTGCATATTTGGCACTCTGGTAGAGAGAAGCTCCAGAGTTCAGATGTGGATTTCAGCTTGAGGGTATCTTGGAGCCAGGATTAGGCACCCTGGGAGCTGGAGGCCTAAGTAGCCAAGGGTAACTCTGCAGTCTGATTCTTCGTTCTGTTGGGAAGCTCACATCTGTTGTGGTTTAACTTTGGGCATATTTGTACTCAGTCTTTCCTACCTCAATAAGCACAAGTGGTACTTTCAGGGCCATTAAAATGGGTCGAATGCCAAAAAAACATGGTAAGAGATGTGCACACTGGAAAAGTGCATAGTGGTGTGGAAAGATGAAAATCATTCCAGTTTTAGTCCCCTCTCTTCCTTGCAAGCAGTCCTTGATACTAAAGAGAGAGTTCAGAATTTTGGGAGGTTTTGGTATCATTTCTAGGTGTTCTGAATACTATCAGTAGCAGCATTTTAATTTTTTTTTTTCTAACTTTCACTGATCTAACAGTGAGCATGGCAGGGTGGGGGGAACACCTTGTCTTTAGGTGAAGCTGTGTTTGTAAAGCCTTCCAAACCAAGTACTTCTCCAGTGCATGTGAGTCATCTTTCCCAGAGTAAAGGAGGTACCCCTTTCTATCTCCCCCTCCACTTGAAAACGGATCCAAATGTAGTATTTGTTGCACTTTAAAAAGGAAAGGTGCAGGACAAAGCACATTCGCACCTCTGTGTAACTTTCAGATGACCTTCCTGAGGGCATGGATCCAAATGTAAGCACCGGAGATAATTCCCAGTTGAGGAAAAGGTGCCTTTTCCTGTTAAGGAGAGAATGTACTTTTAAAGTAGCAAATTTACCTTCTGGATTTGATGATGGTTCTACGTGCAGTCTCATATGTCTCAAGCGCACACAGCTTTTCAGTGACCCTTTAACTTTGTTTCAAATTATTATTGAGGAAACCAAAACAGCAAGAGCAGTGTTCTTCCTACCGTAGCTTGACCCTGCAGCAACTGGAACTACCTTCAAAAGATGAAGTCTTGCTTCTCAGCCACCAAATACACCCTGAAGGCACCAATGCTGGCTTATGAAAAAGAAGTTGTGCTTATTTCTGTACCCCAAGAGTTTGGGAGCTACTTATTTTGCTTTGTCAAACTCTGCCAGATGCTTCCTGGCAATTTATCCGGGATAATTTGTGGGAATCAGTTTTCTAAACAATTTGTTTACTGTTGTCAACAAATACATCCTTTCATATTCATACAATATTGCAAACAAAGCTCCATAAAATATTGAGACAGCATGACCAGTCCCTTAGCATAGTCAGCTGGTAAGACTCAAGAACCTAAGTTGCATTCCCAAGTTTTCACTCTTGCATTCTGATGCCCACCATCTGTGTGCAACTTCTCCAGACCTGCCCTCTGACCAGTGTCAGTGTCTTCCTTGGCAGTTTTCCCCACCACAGGCTCCCCTAATCTCTTCCATTCCTGCTTTTTTCTTGCTTCATAACAGTTTCTTCCCTATTAGGCCCAAAAAGTGCTGGGGTTTTTTGAGTGTGTTGGAGAATATGTGCTTTAACTCAAACTAAATCTTAGCACTTGAACTTGTCACAAACTGTGGCATTCTGTGATTCCGTCCAAGGTTTGGGGCACCCTCTTTGGCTGAGCTGCTTCTGTAAGGTCTCTTCAATGCATTTCAGCCACAAATAGCCAGGCTGGCTAAAAGTAAGTTGTTTAATCTCACTAGAAATAGTAGGTTAGGGAGCTCTTACAAGAGCAGGTTCATTGGGAGTAAAGAAAGTGATTTGAATGTTTGGGCACAGGTTGGAGACAGCAGCTTCGTCCTCTGGCATAGCTGTAGCCTGTACAGACATTTACGCCTTTCAAACTGCAGTGGTTGAAAGTATGAGTCTCTCTGGGTGTCCAGCCTGCTGTTTCCTAACAGAGCACAGTTTATATGAGGTCAGGAGATATTTTCTCCCTTCTTTCCCTCCCATTCCAGCCCAAAAGACTTCCAACAAGGCCAAATTTGGGTGGGTTTGCAGGGAAATGACAGAATGCATGAAGTGTATGCACTCACCCCCCTGCCAACCTTCAAGTCCCTGCTCCGAAGTGCAGAAGAACTAGAGCTGTTAGAACAAGAGGTTGCCAGAATTCTTTAATACAAGCAAAACAGCTTCCCCTCCCCCACTTGGCCTCTTCCTTGGAAATAAACTCAATTAAACATTTTGGCTGAAATTCTTCCCACCCAGCGATATTCTGCTTGAGATAGTCCCTGCTGTTGGGTTAGTTCCGAGAGTTCACTGGAGTTTAAAAGCAAGCTGTAAAGGATGCTTCCCTTTATATTTACACTTGGGTACCACTAATTAGCATTTTTATCAACTGGGTCTGTGATAGAATCATTTTAAGGCCAGAACTGAAGGAATTAAGCATTGTTTCTGAAGGCCAGGATTTTCTAAGTAACTTGGTTATTAAAAACACTGGAAAAGCCTGAGTGCAGAAAGGAAGGATGTTTGCTTCCCTGTTACAGACCGCCTAATGGAGGAGAATTACTAGGAGAAGCATATGACTTATTTATTTCTATTCTTTACAAAGTCATTTGAAGAGGCTAAGCACCCCTGAACTTCAGATATTTGGAAGCAATGTTACTGGGTCTGTGAATAAGAAACATGAAAGACAAATTATTGAATATCATGGTAGTACTCCTTTTTTTTAAAGCTAAAAAAAAACTGCAAAGAGAACAGCTGTAGTCTGTTTCTACAAAGAGAAACAGATGACTTTTGTTGCTGAACTTTTCTCTTTAAAATGGTCTGTGGTGTGCCCAGATCTAAGAGATTACATTGGTTTATGTTTCTTATGTAGTTGCAAAGCTTGCATTTTTTTGATGATAAATGTTTTTAAATGTGGTACATTTTCTAAACTTTTTCCTATACATTATGTGAAACTCCAGTAATACAAATACAGGTTGTGAGAAGCCTGAAAGTTTATAGTTTTCCTCGGTCTTGACACTCGTTAGACCTGCAAGCTGCAGAGTTCATGTTTTGTACTGGGTTAAATAGTAATTCTAAATATGGATTTTTTTTTTTGGAACTTCCCCTGGCAGGGAACTTGGGATTTTTTTACAGGCTAATTTAATGGAAAGTCATTTGTGCTTTTACAGTTTGATTGGTAAAACTGGGGATTTACATGCCTGTCTTTTATGACAGATATCTGACATAAGTTTTTGCTGCTTTGTTTTGTGCCCATCCTGTTACAATGCAGAAAAGTACTTTAAATTATTCATACCAACAATATAGCGACATATGGGCTGAATTTTCTGCCAAATGAGCCTATTATTTAAGAGTAGCTCCCAGTACAAGGAATAAACTATTCATTGAAAGAGTTAAAGTTAGAACTTGGAACCTATAGCTCTTCCAACTGCTTGCCTATCTTAGGGAGAGCGAGAGCAGGACATTGATGGAGAGAGCTGGACACTGTGTAAAGAGTAGGCAGCCATGTAACCCAGTGGTTTTGATAATTGAACTCTATCTTGAGTTGGTCTTGATACTGAAACCTCATGTCCTAGCCCAGGTGGGTGGTTCTGCAGCCAATTTCAGAACTGTGAAAAGAACACTTGATCAGTACTGGTAATCCAACCTGCCTTGGTCTGCTTGTACACTCTTACCCTTTCCTGCATCTCACAAGAGCTGTTCTGCCCTCTTTGACAGCCCCCTCATTACCCATGGGACTTCTCCCTTTGTTTTCACTCTTTTCCTGTTTGTCCTTGATGCTGATGAAACGTTTCTCACTCACAGAAAGGCTGTGAGTGACATTGCTGTGTTAAATCAAACCAGCACAGAGCAGCTTCAGACTTAGTTTGTTCTTTCCTTTGGTTGGTTTTTTTTCCTCCCTCTGTTCTCCAAGGAAAGTAGTAAATGTTTATTGCCTCTTGCTGGTTGAAGAAAGAGCACGCGCAATACTAAACTGTTTAAAAGAAATGTCATTATTGTTCTTTTCTATCTGTTGACATAAGGTTTTCTGTTATTTCAAACAAAAACGGTAGTGGTGGGGGGGAAGGACAAAGGCTGAAGAGCTCCTGTCTGCAGATGAACAGATTTGATAACCGTGGACAGTTATTTTCTCTGCTGCATATTTAGGCAAGTAAAACAAAGACCATGTTGAATTAATGCTCTCTGGAACAGGGAGACTTTTTCCAGAAGCAGGTCTGACAAAGGGGGGGTGGAGCGGAGGAGTGGGGGAGGGCGAGTGCAGACTGCTGACTGAGGGGAAAGTATTTTGAAAGAAAATTCTTCTGTGGTTTGGAAGATGTAGGTTTGAGGCTGTTGCATTTTGCTGAGAAATCATTAATTGGCTAATTTCTAGACCAGTTCCCCCCTACCCCCACCCCTGCTGGCATATCAAACAAGGATGGGGTCACGGAAAGTTGGGGGCATGTACAAGCACCAGCTGAGCAAAGGAAATTACTCCCTTATTTGGTTGGTTCCTGAAGTGCTGCAGATAACTTCTACACTTTCTAATGGAGAATGGAGGCAGAAAAGAGCAAACGTACAAAAAAGAGGTGAAGGAGAGGCATGTGAAATGGGGTGCTCAGAATGTGGAAGCAGAAATGTATGAGCGCTGGCCATTTGCCTGGGAAAGATGACACTGATTATGCAGGGCTGGAAATGTGCATGGTATTTAAGCTGTTTCAAGACAAGGCTCCTGTCCCAGATAGTTTACAGCCTAAACAAAGAGAAGGAGATCTGTGTATCAAAGGAACCTGGGCAAGTGGGAATTTGGCACGCATCTTATTGGGACCAAAGGGGTATTCACAGTGAAAAATGATACTTATTTAGTATTTTTAAAAGCTTTTGGAGAAGGACTAAAACTAAGCTTGTTTGGTAAGGCAGGAAATCAGGGTAGGTAAGTCTTATTTTAGGAAAGATTTTGGAGTTTCAGGTTATTTGATACCACTGA